TGTGTGTAGTGTAGTACAGGTGTGTGTGTGTGTAGTGTAGTACAGGTGTGTGTGTGTGTGTAGGTAGTACAGGTGTGTGTGTGTGTGGTGTAGTACAGATGTGTGTGCAGTGTAGTGAGTGTTAGAAGTACAGAGAACGAACACGAGAAATAATTGGATAGGTGCCTACCATAAACCCCAAACCCTAAATAAATGGATAGGTGGGTACCAGATGGTGGCCTTAGGAAAACAAACGGAGTATGTACTAGATGGTTGCCTTGTACTGATATGTGTGTACCAGATATCAGCCTTGCGTAGCACAGAAACGGGCCATGCACAGGTGCACATTCTTAGATATACATGTATACACAAATGTACATTATAAGATATACTTGCATGCATGCACAGGTACACATTATTAGATATACATGCATGCACAAATATACACTATAAGTTTTAAAGACAGTCATTACATTTCCCGCGAATGAGTGGACAGTACAGAGCAGGTGGTTGTTTGTTGGAGACCATGGATTGGTGAGTGGAAGTGAAAGACACGCCTAGAGCACGAGTGTTTGATAGGGCCACTGCCCACTGCCAGAGACTACTTTCACATAGTTAGTGCTCTCGCATAGTTGGTGCTTGCACATAAGTGATAGATTTCGAACTGTTGCAACACAATGACCCAGAGACGAACAAAGTCGTGGGGCTCCCGCTGAAGCAGTGTGGTTGCCATGGTAACAGTGTGGTTGTCATGGTTACACCAAACATTCTGGGCCACGCGCGCGTATAAGTCCTACCACCGGTAATGAATGCGAGACGAGGCTCCACACACTCCCCCTCCCACACAGATATGCCACACACACTTGAAGGCAAGCTTCACAGCGAGACTCAGACGCACAACCCAATGCAACGCTCCTGATACGCACACACCAGACCAACCACCTACAGCTTATGGGCAGTACACCACCGCCTACAGCTTATGTGCAGTATGTGTGCGGCCTTTTAACCAGCCCAGTCGTACTAGGACTGTAATGGCAACAACCACTGACACTATACCCTACAACCCTACAACCCTACAACCTACAACCCTACAACCCTACCTCACCTAAACAGTTGTGACAGGACCATAAGACAACGCTTTAATCCGTAACTAGGACTCGTGTACCAAAGATACGTTTTGGCCCAACAGAAGCCTGAGGAGCGACGGTTAGACACTTGCCTACCTGTGCTTGTAACGAGTTTACGGTACCATCGATTCTATCTGCGTGGACTTCGTACTGTTTTTTTCGCTTTAGGGCCGTCAGTGCACCTGAGGACAAAAAAATTAACACCGGTTCAGTTTGGAGAGGCCAATGGAAAGAGAATAGCATACGGTTAATAACTTCTAAAGTTCGGTACAAACTGCCATTCCGGTATTAGATAGAGTGGTTATTTTTTTTTATCGCGTATAACTCTACCCCATATTCTATAGGCCACTTCCTTGTCATCCACCCCACCCGATCCATCACGTGTAGACAGCGGAACATGAAGCAGGCTATATAACAGATGGTAAGCTCAATGCACATCTCTCATCTGTCTTCAACTGGTGCACACAACAGAACACAGGGGCAGATGGTCCCATTTTAAACTGGAACTAACATCCGTTGGCCAAGACGTGCTTGACAATCTTCACTGTGGTTGTATAATCATATATGTAGACATATATACATGATTGCATGCATGCATGCATGCATACATCCATATATACATACAGACATACATACACACACACACATGGACCCAAAACTAAAGTTATGCTTGGATAAGTATCGACATACATATATACGTACATACATACACACATACATACTTACATACATACATACATACATACATACCTACTTACTTACATACATATACATATATATATATATATATATCAATCTTTATATATATAAATAAATATATATAACATATATATATATATATATATATATATATATATATATATATATATATATTTAAAGATAGATATATATGTGTGTGTCTACATATACATGTATATATATTTATAAATATATATATATATATATATATATATATATATATATATCTTATATATATATATATATATGTCTGTGTGTGTGTGTGTGTGTGTGTGTGTGTGTGTGTGTGTGTGTGTATTTATATATATGTATATATACATAAATATATATCTATATATATATATATATATATATATATATATATAAATATATATGTATATATATATATATATATATATATATATATATATTATATATATATATAT